TATCGTATGTGAGGTTGTCCAAGAACTTTTGTAGTTCTAAGGAAATAATGATATGCTAATAGAATGGAAATAATAGTACGTGTATAAATAACATATCTCATATAAATGCATTCATATAGATACATACATAGCATAAAAGAAAAATTAATAAGAGAAAAATGTATTTAAAAAAAGTTTTTTATATAAAAAAGAAAACTATGTTTAATAAAGGAAATTGCTTAAAAATAAGCGACGAAAACATTTTTAAGATTTATGTCATATAAACTCGTACATCTGTATCTAGGTATATCTATATGTGGATAAGAGCAATTTATAAAACCAATGCGCAAAAGTATTTCCTGATTAAAATGTATAAATAAGTAAGTTGAAATAAAATGTGTTTTATACATAGTATGTGAGGTGTTCGAGAGCTGAATGGGGAAGCCTCGACGAGCAATGATCACTCTGCGGTAGACAATAGTAAGAACAACAATATACTTTGGCGTGTTCATATCAGCGAATGAAAAAGCGGATGCTGCTATTTGAAATTCTAACAATTGATAATGCAAAACAAAGTTTTAGCTTAGAAATTAAAATAAAAAAGAGAATATAATATAAAAACAAACCTTTCAGTTGCAACAAAATATGAAACCAAAACGTAAAGTTTTCATTACAATTTTCACTTCAGTTTGAGTTCACCACAAATCGAGTTGGCGAAAATACCAGCACCGCAACCGTAACTCAATATAAGACACATAAGATAGTTAACGTGTTTTCGCAATATTACTTTCATATCCACAAATATGTATATAAACACACAAACACACAAACAAACATATTTAAATTTAATTGCATCTGTATCTTGTATCTGAGACGATACTTGTATCTAACGCTAATGAAAACGACAGCAAATGAAAATGAAGGTCAACCGTATTTAACATCTGAAGATAATAATGTGTTAGCATATCTAATTGAATACACATAAGATATAAAAAAATAAGTAAATATGGTTCCAGGAGAGGAATATATACTCGTGTAGTATATATATAGAATATATACACAGGTGATAAATATATAGTTAATTAATATAATACAAAATAAACAATAATATAAACAACATTCTACGTGATTATTTAGATGACAAAATAGTAAAATTTGCAATTCGATATACTTTACTAGAGATTCCTTATAGTACTGATTTTCTATAATTATAATATAATATAATAGATACGAAAATAAATAAAAATTTTTAACAATAAATATTGTGATAATTAAAATAAACTCCATTAACGACAATAAAAATGTGCTCAATCTCCAAAACCATTTGCATGGGTACAGATTTTGATGTGACTGTCACGCCTCTGTGTGAATTCACAATCATTATTAAAATCATTGTGTCTTAAAACAGTTCTTATGTAGGGGTGATTTATGTTTTGGAAATAGAAATCAATGGTCGATCTTTCTGTGAAGTGGTAAGTAAGGTTTTGGATATGGAGAAAAAGTAATCCTAAGTTATACAACAATAATCACGTGAATCGTCGCAAAGTTTATAGTAATGAACTAGTTCAAACTAGTTTTTGTTTCTGAACTAGTTCAAACTAGTTCATTAGTTAACTAGTTAACTCTGAACTAGTTTTAAAACCAAAATTTTAGTTAACTAGTTAATTCTGAACTAGTTCAAACTAGTTCATTAGTTAATTAGTTAACTCTGAACTAGTTTAAAAACTAAAATTTTAGTTAACTAGTTAATTCTGAACTAGTTCAAACTAGTTCATTAGTTAACTAGTTAATTCTGAACTAGTTCAAACTAGTTCATTAGTTAACTAGTTAACTCTGAACTATGGTAGTTTAAAAACATGATTTTATAAAAATCATAACTTTAATTACTATGAAACAACGATGGCCTGAATTTTTTAAAGAGGTTCAACCTTTAAACATGGTCTGTGAGATGATATTTAAGTTAGACTTAAACTTGATCAATCACACACCTTAAATTTGTTGAACGAACTTAAAATCACCTTGTCTCTCCATTTTTTAAAAAACAAATTAGGAACAAACCATACTTTAAAGTAAAATGAAAGCCATCGACAGAGTACTTCTACTGTCAATGGCGTATATATATATTTTTTATTATTATTAGTAAACAATCAGAAGGAGCAAGAATTACTCTTTCCTCTTCTGACATTAGGAGGTCCTCAACGGTTGCTATTTTAGCTTTCATTCGAAGAGGGTAATGCCTTCTGTTCGGGGTAGGATTTGTAGCAGCACAAAAGATCAACTATGTAGTCACAGTGCTCTGCTCCATTAGAAGACAGTACCCTTGTTTATTTCTATTCTAATCTAAACAATCATATATTTCGGATACTTTTTGTATAGAGAACATTTCATCTTTGGGAATATCTTACCTAATAGAGATAGCTAACGTAACGATGATATTAGAAAAAAAATATCAACCATTTGAAGAGGAGGTAAATATAGTTGTCTAATAATATACGTGTGTAATAATATATAGTAAACTCTCATTTTGATGGATAGCGCGATAATCCAAATTAACGGATACTCGATATAAGGAATACCCAATGTAACGAATATTTGATATAACGAATACCCGATATAAGAAATACCCGATATAACGAATATCCAATATAACGAATATCCAATATAACGAATACCCGATATAACAAACATTAAATATAACAAATACACAACATAATGAATACCCGATATAACGAATACCCAAGGTAACGAATATCCGATATAATGAATACACGATATAACAAATATCCGATATAACGTAAACCCAAAGAAACCTTTACATAACAATCAAACAAATACAAATATACGAAAAATGTTCTCTCTAAATAACGAATGTTGCATCTCAAACATATACGAAATAATAAAAGATCTTGGCACTATATATATTGCTGGAAACCAATTTTACCTTTAAGAATAAATTGAAATTGACATAGATATGTTATATGCAGGAATAATGGGGTGCAATAATTAATTTTACCGTGTTTAATTGAGAACATTTCAAGGACCGATCGTGAACTATGGTTTTGAATAGTGTTTCATCAAAGGACAAGGAAAAAATCCTTTGCTTCTATGTGATTGTGTATATATAAACCGGTTTTTGAATATATAAACGATGGGTCTAAAGAGCATAAAGATTTTCTAATGAAAAATTAAATTAGAAAATAGGAAATCTTTTAATATGTGATTGAGCTGTAATATTATATAGAGATAGTTATCAATCTCAGCAAATAAGGCTATGAAGGACAAGAACACCGGAAGTATCTGATGTCTTCATATTCTGCAATATTCATTGAATGTAAGTTCTGATTTTTAAACTTGATTTTTACTTATATTCATAGTTGCAGATGCATACATTAAAATATCAAGAAAATAAGAAAACTAATTAAGTATAATATATATATTATTTCTTGTCACAGTTTTTGTAATAATAATTTGAGTTTAGATTTAGTCTGTAAATTTGTCGTCATAATAAGCAATAATGACTATTGTTTATTATATTTTTTTCAATGCTAAAATTAAATAAAAAATTAGTATTTTATTCCATACCATGAATATAAACTGTTTTTTGAATGTAAGAAGTAATTTATCTGTGACATCACAGATAATGTGGTTAGAGGCTTAATACCTAGAGGTCTCAACAGCTTATTCAATATAATAATTACATTAAATATAGTGTAATATAATATTTAATAAGATTAATAATTAATCGATATTTAATGAAAATGGATATAATATGGAGAAATTGGCTTGATGTTTTTAGTCCAAAAGGTTACCTTCGTAACATACACGTATATTTATGATACCAAGAAACCCAAGGAATCAGACTTATGCTTTCTTGAAATTTCAAAACGTGCACTTTTTGAAAAAAAAATTCCATATTAAATAAAATGTTTTTATATATCAGTGTAAAACTTACTTATGTTAATATCTTTTGAAATTAAGAAAATTGAAAAGTCGCCATAAATGACGTCTAGAGGAGAGCCATAAACCACAATTTGATTTTCCATGTTAACTTTGAGGTTCTATACGTCTAAAAAAATAATAATGATATAATGTAAAATGCACAGTACTTCTGTGCTTAAATACTGTTAACATGGTCTCTCTCAACTGATAAAATGTCGTTCTTGCTTGAAAGCGAATAAGACTTCTAGTCAGATTCAGATTCAGACTGTCCGGCTTTGATCTGTACCAAGAAAATACTATTAGATTTGAAATTCCTATATTCGTCAGAAGTTAGAATATCCTCAACAGCGTATGTTTTAGCTTTTATTCCAAGGATGGAGTGTATTCTGTGCAACAAGGTGAGGAAAAGTAATACAAAAAATCAATTATGTTCTATTCCCGAGAGACAGTATCCCGTAGATTTTCTATTCTATTCTATTTTATTCTGTTGAGAATAGCAACACCTCTCACAGATGCACACAGATGCCTCACGAAGCTTATGAAGGATACACAAACTAGTCAGTGAGATGGGTGGAACTCTGCAGAAACAAATAAACCGACTATATAAATTCGATAATCTAATAGATAATCGTAATCATTAAATTTTGCAAGTATAAGTGAAGTTTAAGAATCTGTTTTGTAGTACTCTTAAGTGTGGTAAACTGGACTTTAACCAACTGATTTGTCTCGGATATAACTGAGATACAGTTGGAATTGAGTGCTAAGAGCTTTTCCTGTGTTTGTCAATATTTGCTATAATTATATAAAACATTGTGCTGAGATTATTAGTTTTATGCATTGATTTAATATACAATATTATATGTTAACAATACCCATACTTTATGGGATCAAGACACAAAATTCTTTTTAACAGTTGGCATCCAATGTGGAAGATACGGAAACGAATTGGAGAACTATATTTACTGTCTACGCTTCGACGGCTTCATAATGAACTCCTATAGAATTTTGATCACTTTTGAGTTCACTTTTGATTTAAGAATTATTATTTATTATTTTATATATTGTTTGGAGACAACACTCACCTTCATCACCAACTCAAAGGGGTATTTGTAAACTCTGACGGGCGATTGATATTTTTGTACCATTTTGATTGATTATGTTTGTTCTTGGTTAAAAATCAATTTCACTTGCACTTTTTTATGGTTGTTATATTTTTTATACGTTGCTTTAGTTGTTGATATAAATGTACTTCCGGAGCAGAACTTCACCAAACACAAGAAGATAAAAAATTTTTTTTTTGTTATAAAATAATATTTTATATAATATATATTTTATTAAAAACTAGATTTGTTTGACAAATCTGTAATTTAAATTATTAAATTCATATTTACATACAGACATACACATATATACATATATATCTATATATGTAAACAAATAAAAATCAAAATATAATTTAATAATTAAATAAGAAATTTATGAATGAAAGCTTGAGGTGCACATAAATTGAGGAAACTGGCATACACAACGCTACATCGCACACAAGACAAAAACTGATGCAGATTTGTTTGTTTATATCTGAAGAATACACTTTTTTATTCTATTTTTTGTTTGAAATAATTTTGTATTTTGGAAAACTTTTTTTTACAAAATTAATTTATTTTAAAAAAGAACTGAAATAGACTTAATAAAATTTATACCGCCACTGTGATCAAAATAAACAAAATAACTTTTCTGCGCGCAGCTCTCCACGCTCTACAAATATCTGTTCAAGCTTGACGAGCGTCAAAACAAGACTACCAGCCAATTGCATTTGCATACTACTTCACCTGGTAAAAATCTATTGTGAAAATGTGTGCAGTGCTGCCAATAAGTAAAATATTACTACACAATATAATTGATTTACTATGATAATCTATTGTGAATATTTATCGCAGTGTTGTTAAGAACTAAAGACTATTCAAAGAATAAAAATTATAAAATTAAGGCCGTGTGCGAGTTCGAGTAAATTGATGGTAAATTGAGGTAAAAAGTAAATTATGTCGGTATGGCAGCAAATGTTGGTATTTACCAGAATTTCAAGTAGGGTAAATTAGATGAAAATTAATAAAATTAGTTGTTACCATTACCGCGCAAATAAACAATGAAACAGCTGATTCACACATCAACACAAATTTTACTGGAAATAATATGTACGGGCAAATTTCGACAGGGATGTTACGCTCCCTCAGATGCTCTCATTCACTCGAAAATTTGTTGGTGGAACGCACTTGTGTATATACAGTGTTACTCAAAGTTACTATGAGTAGCTCGTAGAACAGACCTAATAAGTAATACAAAACTGAAATGTTTGGCTACATCATAACTGGTCGTTTATATATAGAAAGTAGTGTTGTTGTTTTAACGGCCTTAAGCAAGCGAATTGTTGTCTTTTTTGCCACACTTAGGACTACGCCTTATATTCAAAATAAATAAGGAAATAACAACTGATTTGGCAGTTCAAATCATTTAACGAATTAGCACAAGCCCATTTAACGAATTAACTTGTACTCTGTGTTGGCAATTTGCGAAAGTGTCAAATTTTAAGACATTTTCTTTAATAGGTGTATTTCTTTGACATGTATGCATTAATAAAACAGGTGTCGGTTAGAAATTAACATGCAAAGCAAATACAAAATGCTTTAAAATAAGCCCACTTTGCTGAAAGTGCTTAACGAATGAACACGTCGCACTATAATGGTGCCAAATTTTAAAACTGACCTATTGTGAATGGGTTTTGGAAGAAAATGGAAAACTTCAATCAGCTGTTTATTATTTACAACTCCTGCGAGTGTTAATGAGTTTATTTAAATATTTTAAAAAAGTAATTTTTTTAAGAAAAGTTGTGAAAATGACTGAAAGGTTAGTAATTGTGAAAAATTTTATTGTGTATTAAGGAATTTTTAATTTCTGTGTTCATTAAAAAATGCAAGATATGAATAAATACAAATCGCAATTATTATAATAAAAGCAATAAATTATAAGATAATACTGCTCATTTAGCATTAACTAGTGATGTTAGAAGTTTAAAAATTATAGAAACATATATAAACAAATTTATTCACGACCTCGTGTTGTCTATATGCATATTTATATAAAAATTTGTTTGAATTTTTTTTTACTTTTATGTTTACTGGTTTAGGCAATGAGGACAAGTATTTTTAAGCATTAAAAATTGTTTTATTGGAGGATATATGTCAAGGAAATTGACCTAATTATAAAGAGGTCTAACAATTTTACATGTCTAACATGTCGTGCATATATTAAAATAAATTGTAAATGTATACAATGATTTCTCATATATTTCCTATTTAGGTATTGAATAAGTGCAAGGAGTATGTGGTAGATTCACAGTAGATAATACTAAATTAACTCGATATATTATTTATCATATTATTCTACTGTCTATTGTACTGGCAATAAGAATAATTCATATTTTATTCTTACATCAATATGTCGTACAAATCCTGGTAGTGATGCCAGGAGTGTGTTTGCTGGAGTCGTTACTCGCAATTAGGTGGCGCTGGTGTTTCTTTTTCACAAATAGAGGCCGCTATCGCGCTGAATAAAGAAATGTGCATAAAGAGCTGAATCAGCTGATAAGTGTGTGAATAGCGCAAACCGATCATTTTTGCTGATGACATAATTTAAATGCCATGACTTTATACTTTGTTAAATCAGAAATTTAAAACAAGTCTTGAAGATTTTTTGTTGTCGACAATGACAGAAAGTACTTTTGCTTTCATATTAATAGAAAATTTATACTATTTCATTTAAACACTCGCTCATATATATTTATAAGTGAACGTTCACTTTATAATGATCTAATTTATATAGCAAATAGAGCTTTTACATATATGTCAAAAAAAATTATTAAAGAACTTTCGTTTGTTTACAAATGAATTGACAAAATTTTCGGTATTGTGTGAAATAAATCTTTTAAAATGAAAAGCGAGGAAAATTTAAAAAATATTTAGTTTATTTAAATTTAAAAACAACTAGTTTTAGTTTTAGAATGACAACAACCAGAAGAAGTTTCATTATTACATGACGACGATCTAAATGGAGGATAAATAAGATGATGAGCTTTAGTTTCATTGAGTTTTGTTTTATTTTACAGGACACTATCAATTATCTTAAAAACTAATCATTTAAACAACATAATTTTAATATTTAATCTTGAAAATATAACATAAAACTATAAGTTAACTGAATTTTAATATTTAATTTTGAAGCACAAAATAAGTTAATCTAACTGTTCTAAATATTTGCAAAAATAAACTACTTAATGTAACTTATAATAATATTATTATAATAATAATAATTATTATAAATTACAATTAATAATAATAATATTAATAGTTCATCGCTGCTTAGTCACCAAAAATGCTTAGTCATTTTAGGTGGAGAAGTAAATCGCGACAAAGCAATATTGCATGCTTTCATTAAATTTAAAGACTTTGCAGGATTTCATTTATATTATCTTTCTTTCTTCTTTTCAGAATCATCCGATGTAGATATTGGATCTGATAATGGATGTGGAGATGAGCATGGATGGCGTTCCACCCGAAACTCCAACAAATTGCTGTTCTTTTCTGATTTAAAATAAAAAAACTCTTCAATTAAAGTGATTAAAAACAACTATTAAAATAAATAAATAAAAAAGTTAATATAATTACAACATTCAAATTTCTTTTTATATATGTAAGTTATATATAAGTTATATTGTTGTGATTTTAAACTTCACTTACGAAATATTTACCTAAACCTTTGTGTGAAGTTGTGGACCTTCGTTTTTACTTTTAACGAGGTGTCCATAAAACCCCTTTTCTGAAGTTTCTGTAGATAAACGCACTGAGAAGTAAGTATTTAAAAAACTTTTTTTTTTACTAATTAAATATGTAATGGAAAATGTGTATGTTCGAAAAGTAATGAACTACAACAACAAAAATTCTTTTTCTATTATTTTAATTAACTGAATTTTTGACTGACCATACAGCTGTTTCGAGTATTGCCAAATACCCACATTAGTGGTCTTGGAATTATTTCTTATATTTAATTATTCGTATATAACTGTTTGAGACTGCAAGTACCGATGGTGAAACTCGTGTCCTGCCAAATTTGAAGTTTAAGGTCAGCGCACCTTTATATATATATATATATATGATATAATATAATAGATTGGTTATATATTTAATTTTTTGTATGATATATTATTAAATGATGTTTATGTAAACAAATTGAAGCTCTTTTAGAATTTTCGAAGAACTTCTGACACATAAAAATTCTTTCACATGCAATAATTAACATAACATAGTCAATGGAAGCGACAAAATATTAAGTTTATTTAAATAACTTATTAAGTAAGCAGTGGAAACATGGTATTAGTATTATCTGAATTTTTTATACTTAGAATTCAAAAACCGCAACACTGACAGAATGAACTATGGTTTTCTAAGGCGACATTGTTGCGGTTTCTTTAATTTTGCCCAGGTACAAAGTATGTTATATATCATGCGATAAAAATGAGAGATATTTATATATAAAACCTGAAATTAAAATGTCATATTTAGTTTCGTGAGAAAAGCAAAAACAATTTATTTAGGTTGGAAATTCACTTTTTAATGTAATTATTTAGAGTTAAATTAAAGAGTTATAAAGTAAAATATATAAAAATTAAATTGTTAACATTTTTGTGCATATATTAGTTTTTATTTTGTATTTAAAAAATATTGATTAAAAACAACAAATGTTAAATTATTCACCGTTATGTTTTTAGTTAAAATTTTATCTTCACTTGCGACTGTATTTTCTTTTATTTTCAATTACATTTATTGAAAAATTGCTTATTTTAAAAAATGCGCTTTTATCTTTCACTTTATTGCATGTGATATCATGTGGATTGTAGAAAATAAAAGTAGCAAAAATGAAATCAAAAATAAGTTAAATACGAAAATATAAACTTAGTAGTGTGTCAAAAAATTTTTACTTGCCAAAATTCGTTTCCTATTTAAGTTATTAAATAAATTCAGTAGCATATGTCATATTTATAAGATTTGAATTTTATTGAAGTGCGAATGTTAAGAACGGTTCTTGTGTAAAATTTTTTGGAAAAACATAAAATTTTTATTTTAAACGCTGCCATTATATTAACTACAATAAGCGAGGTAAGTTTTTTCATTAAAAAAAATAAGATAGGTACATTTATAACTTTTTGTTATATTTTTTTTTTCATTAAATATCTTATGTGTCCTAATGCATTGCAAACAATTTTAAAAGCTTAATAAGAAAATATTACTTATTAATCACATAATCAAATAATAACACAAATATATAGAATTAAATATGTATTTATAGTACATATAGAAAACTTTATACATAAACAATTATTAATAATCAATAATATACATTTTTTTTTTGATATTTGAGTTAAATTTAAATATTTAAAATAATTGAATAAATAATCGTTATATATTATTCCCAAATGCATATTTTATTGCGACTGCATACTCCATTCACAATAGATTTGCAATTTCATTTTATAGCACATTGTTAATTCAGACAATGTTTATATTTAATTAGATATACAAAAATTTATTAATATACATATAGTCAATTTAAAGAAAATATTAAGCAACTTTAATGTTGTCATAGGTTTTAGAAGAAAATTTTACTTTGTAACATTTTGGTTAGGTTATTCAATAAATTGTTATTACAACCAGTTTTCAATATGTTTTTTTATTATTATTTGGCTTAGGTCGTTAATTTAACACACAAAAATTAAAAATGTTTTTTTTTTAAATAAAAATTACACTTATAAATTTGCGTTAAATATTGAATTGTATTATAATTTTTATAAAAAATTATTTGTATTACAGACATTTCGATCTATTTCATAAACTATCTTCAGTGTACAGTGTTAAATTAACGACTTAAGCCCAGTAATAATAAGAAACGTATTTTATTTAACATTAAAATAATTTAAGTTATTATTAATTTTTATTCAGTTCCAAATTGTAAAAAAGTACTATAAATTAGTTTTTCTTTTGTGCTGCAAATAAATTAGTTAATAATACTAATAAACAAATATCTACACATGAACCGTAAGAAAAATAAAAATGTTTGCTTTTTATGTAAATAATCAAATATCCGGAATGGACCCAACTATTCCAGATTAAGAGCTACGCGAAAAGTTTGATATCTGGTGTTATTCTTTGTTGGCATTTTCATTGATGTAATTAAATAAATTCATAAACAACAGCAGTAAAATTTTTAAAACCTATTTAGAAATGTCTCTTAATGTTAAAATGTTAGTTTTAAAATTACTTAATATTTCAAAATAGTTATACTTTATGTTTTTCGATTACTTTTTATATTAATTTCTTTTAAATTTGATATTAATATTTAAAAATATTACATTTTTATGCAACATATATATACATATATTCACCAACAAAGTTTTCTTGCCAGTTCTGATTATAGACATACGAACAAATTTATATACTTTCTCTCATATACTGTATAAAAATGTGATTTTTGATATATTGATATATATATATATATATATATATATAGACACACAATTTGTTTTCTTATATAATACATTTATTGTTTAAAATAACTATGCACTACAGCATTTTTATATGCCATTCACAATAGTTTTTTTTTAAAAAAATATCGAAAACCTAGATTCAGCTGTCATTCAGTTAATGTCAATTGAGTAGCCGTTATTAAAGAAGAAGAAATTTTTAAATGTAATGGAAAGAAGATAGCTGGTTTATAGTAGTTTATTTTTTTTCATTTATAAGTGTAAAAGTTATATAATATTCTGTGATTAATAAGTGAAATATTTATTGCAAAATATCTTTGCATATATAAATTAGGGTATGTATATGTTAATTCAATATTTAATACACAAAAAAAAAAATATTTTTGGTGTTGTAATAAAAATTTTAACATTGGCTCAAAATTTTTCTAGTTCTTATTAGGAACGATTTGTAAAAAAAAATTTTCGTTTTCTATGCGAAAATTGTGGAAGACGATTTGTCTGAGGTATTAAATAATTTTATAATATTTAATTTAGGTCTGGTGAAGACAATTGCTTATAGAAGTATCAATAACGCTTGCAAAACTAATTAGGAGCTTCCGTTTCAATAGTAAGTATTAAAGCTCATGGCTGTCTAAATGTGAATTTATATATATATATATATAATATATATATATATATATATATAATATATATATAATATATATAAATTAATTTATATAATATAAAAATTAATATGAACTCTGCATATACGAAGAAAGGTATGTAAAAAGTATCTTAAAATATATCTGAAAATATTTTTAGAGCTAATGTATAATTTTGACGTTTTAAAAAATTTTTTTTTTGGTTTTTTTTTATTAAGAACTTGATTATAAATTCCACGATTAATTTGCAAAAATTGTTGACGGTGATTATCCAAAGGTGATTGACGGTGATTGTATTGAACTTTATAGTATCTACAGTACAGTTCCAGTAAAACCATTGCTTATAAGAGTATTTTTAAACCAGGTAAAATCAATCATCAATTATCAACAATCGTTTTAATTTAACGCAAATTATTTCATTTTTTTTTATTTTTAGGCAAATAAATTTAAAATTTAAAAAAATCGCTGTTTCAAAGTTTTAAGATATTCTTTGCAAAAATGGTTTGGAGTTTCGGAAAGATCGATCTTAGCTGTACACCTTCAGTTAAAGATGGCGTATCAATTGAAACCGAGAAGCGCTATCGCAAAGAAGGTGCTCGTTTTATCAGTGATTGTGGAATGCGTCTTAAGATTGGCCATAACACGATAGCAACTGCTGTTGTTATGTATCACCGCTTTTACTTGAAGCATTCTCATAGGATGTTTCCACGTTTTTTTACTGCGTGTGCTTGTATTATGTTGTCGGGAAAAGTAGAGGAAACGCCAAAGAAGTGTCGAGATATCATTGCAACAGCCGAATTTTTGTTACCACCGGTTTATATATCTACATTTGGTTCGTGGCCTGAAAAAGTATTTTAATCTTTATATATACGTTAGAATAATTTACTATATGGATTTTTTTAGGATATAATCGTACTTGAAAAAATATTACTGCAAACAATTCACTTTGATTTCGACACTGAGCATCCTTATAAGTTTTTAATTCAGTATGCCAAAGGAATCAAAGGTGACAAAGCAGTAATACAAGATATCGTTCAAATGGCTTGGAATTTCATTAATGACTCATATGGTATAATTTTGTGCATTGAGTGGGAGCCAGAGATCATAGCAGTAGCTCTTCTGAATCTTGCGTGCGAATTATCTAAATTTTCAGTAACGGATTGGTGTAACAAAACACCTACCCAAGAGTACTGGTGGGATGTTTATATAGCCGGTATAAGTATAGATGAATTGCGGGGCCTGGCTAAAGAAGTGCTTGATATCTATGAACTGCCAGAAAAAAAAGATATCTCAACAATCACTGAGCTGAAAAATACACAAAGTCCAAATGGTGGAAATGCAAATGTAGCCAAAACTGTTGATGTATCAAATGAATGCCATGATGAACCAAATAATGAATTGGAAGACGTGTCATATAAGACATTAATTGAAGAGTTTGTTGAATACGAGAACGAGTTAAAATTAAGAAATTTAACAACTCGAAAGGAAAACATATTGCCTGTACCAAGTGTGTTTACTGAAGATAAGGAATCAATGTGCCAGCACAAATCCAATCTAATAGAAGACGGTAATAAGGCTTTCCAATTAGGCAGCATTACAGAGAAATTATCAGCAAATTCAGCAGCAAGCAATGCGAAAGCATTAACTAGAACAGCTGAAATGTCAAAAACTGATGCTGTACTTACGTCTGATAGCGTGTTTCCATCACTTAAAACAAATAATATTGGTACCTTTAAACCTTTTATAATAAAAACAGCAGAATTAAACAAGAGTGGAGAAGCACCAATAAGTAAATCTTATTTGTCATCATTCAATAGACTGAATTCGAGTTCTTGTGCAACAACATCTAAAAACGTATCTCTCGATCAGGTTATTGCGAATGAGCCTGCAAATAGAGCATCAATTACTTATAGAACCAAAAATGAACCAACCTTTATAAAATCATTCACTTCTTCTAATTCATCAGAGAATGGTCAATGGAGCTCAGTAATTAATTCGCACTCAACACAACTGCAGACCCAAATGAACACTGCAAAAGTACAGACTAAATTATTCGCTTTAGATTCTGATAAAATAGAGAATAATGGAAAACGTAAATTAGAAGATAATTCTAAGAATAAAGAAATCACAAAGAAGGCCGCAACCGCAACTTCAATCTCACCAGTAATAACCGTTAAGGAGTCGGAAAGTATGTCTAAAACAAAAGACGTCTTTGGAAATTATTCGTTGATCAGCATGCCTATATCTACAAAAGATAACAAAAAGAAAATTCAGTTTTCGAAAGCATTGACAGACAAATTTAATTACTTGATCAATAAATCTGTTAACAACGCTACTAGTACCATTAATGATGATTTAAATAAACAATGCAACATGGAAACCATCGTCAATGTGTCTGAATGTCACAATATGAATACCTCTACAAACGCTTTACAACGTCTCGTCGAAGAATTACCACAATCATCTAATGTAACAGCTGTTTCTGTACCAAAAGATCCAGAAGATGAATTATTGTACCCTACTTATTCCAAACAGTCTATCGATTATTCCAATGTTTTCACAAATAATAACACTCAAAGCCTAACTTCTACATGTGAACCTCATCAAGCAGCAATGCAATCCACATTACAAATTCATGTTAACCAGACAAAAGAATCGACTAACAATATTAATTATGCAAGCTTGACTTCTACATGTGAGTCTACTCAAGCAGCAATGCAATCCACATTACAAATTCATGGTAACCAAACAAAAGAATCGGCTAATGATATGAATTATGCAAACAATATGAATCCTGTTGATTCGTATAATATTCAGCTGGAAACTAGGGATTTAAAAATTGAATCACCAGCTAATCAAATGCAAGTCATATCAACAACTACTTCAAATGACACTGAAATGGATACAGGTATACGATCAATGCCATATGCAAGTTCATACGAATGTAATATGGATATTATGCAAACAATTTTATATAATGTACTTTACCCACCCCCTCCGCCTCCGCTACCACCATTATCTCAGGATACACCTCAGCCATCAGTACTCAGCGAATCACAGCAATCATTATTACTTAACAGTGAAATATCCCAAACACTTGAACCAAAGTTGCTCAATGAAATACCGATGTTTAGCGATATATCTCAACCTTCATTGTCCGTGGATACATATCAGCCATCATTGCCTTATGATGTTTCTACACGTCCATTACTTACACCACCTTCAGTATCAACGCAAACATCATTAACAAAAAATGTTCCTGGATCACAGATACTTTCATCACCTTCGGTATCAACACAACCAGCTATGTTACCTGCAAATTTACCAACAAGTTCACACATCACAGCAGACGAATTATATATGCAATTACTATCATTTTATCAAGCGCAATGGTTCAACTCTCTTCATGCTATAACAGAAGATATGCCAGTTACACAACTTAATGATTTTATTAGAGGCGCGCCTATAACGGATAATGATATGTCACAATCTAATATGTACTATGATCCGTCAACTAATCAGGAATGGGCCCCATTCTACACAGAACCAGCTTATCTCAGTGCTTTGCAAACGTATGCAGAACAAATGTCCTCAAATATAAATAGTAATTCAAATAGTAATTCATAATAATTTTTTCCTATTATTTTTTATTAATATAAACAATCAAGAAATCATAAATTCAAGAATCAAGAATCAAGAATCAAAAAATCCAGAAATCAAGAATCAAGAAATAATTTAAAAAAAATTTCTTATAAAAAAAATATTAATTCTCATCTTTAATTAATAAAAAAAACTTGATTTATGATAAATTATGACTATCCATGAACAAACTTTAAATAAGTTTTAATTTAAATTAATTACAATCTAACTATTTGAAAATAATCATAAACATTACATAGGATATAGATTAGTATGCCTCAAGCCAAAACGTGAAGCAGACTGGAAAAATACTCAAAGCGCTGTGTGAAGACCGGTGCTAATATCCTCCAAAAAAATACTACCCTACTTGTGAAAGACAAGCGTATTAGTATTAAAAAAATATTAGGTATAATATATATATATATATAAAGTATAAATGTACCTACTATTAGTTTACAGACAAGTAAGCGGATCGGCAGCGGCAGTCTGATTAGACTATATACAACACTGATTAGATTATATTATTATATATTATTATTATAATATTTAATAATATTATTATATTATATTTTTCATATATTTTGTTTTTATATAAATTTTAATTTTTATTTTTTTTATATATAGCATACGGTTTGTATATAAAAAATTGATATATAATTTTCAAACACAATTCACATAACATATATAATATTATTTCCAAAACAGTTCTATGGTCAGCCGAAGAATTTATTTAATTTTAAAGGTTAAGAAGCGCTGACTCTGAGCTCCAAATTTGACAGGACACGAGTTCGATTCCCGGTACTTGGAGTCTCAAAAATAATTATATACGAATAATTAAATACAAGAATTATTTCCAAGACCAATGATGATGGGTATTTGGCAATACTCGAAACAGCTGTATGGTCAGCCTAAAATTCAATTAATTAAAATAATATAGAAAAATAATTTTTATTGTAGTAATTCACTACTTTTCGCAAATCTCTTTAATTATAAAAAATAAATTGCTGTATGTATAAATTTTGTAAATATCACTCCTCTTTCAATAGAGGGGTTCAGTCATAGAGCATAAAACTTTGTAATACGAACTTGCTATGATGTTCTTAATGTCCTTGACTATAGAATTCGATTATATCCAAAACTCAGAATGCAAGAAATCTAAAGCAAGTATACAGTTCAGTAAACTTGTATAACTGTGGTTTATGCGTTACGAATAGAAAACAATTGTTGCAAAAACAAAAATTGCCAAAAATCAAAAATTGGTTAAGATAAATTAACATATGTATGTTCACATACAAATCCTCAATTCATATTTAAGTGAGTTCAATTCTAAGCACTTGCATGAATTGTTTCAAAAGACCACTGATGATGGATATTTGGCAGTATCCGAAACAGCTGTAGCTTAACCTAACCATATTCTTCATTAAAAATTAAATTTTTGGATTTAAGAATTTATAATCTGTATTATCCTATACTTTAATTGAAATAGATTCCGTATCATAAAATATAAAAAGTTTGTAGCTCTAAATTTTATATTAACTTTTATCTAAACTTTTAATCAATTTTTAATATGCTTAATACATATTATATTATATAATATACTTAACATTTTGAATAAAAAAATCTTTACATAAATATTATGATACATATATATTTTTATAAATATTTTTATATATGGGTTTTTATATAAATGTTAAATATATGTTTTCATTAAGGAAAACATATGAAACATGAAAGCTAGTTTGATGGATGAACTTTTCTATATGACGCTAGCTAAATCCAACTATTCTAACTTATGATTCGGTCTGTTATCTATTATTAGAGATAGATAATTGCCTTAACTGAGATAAATAAAAGTGTTCTAGCGAACATTATTATTTTTAAATAATAGACTATGAATCTTTTGTGAATGTACCCCCACCTTAAAGCCCAACTAAAGCAATTTTAGACTACTTAAAAATCTCGTAATTGCTGTGAGCTTAATTTTACCTATTTGAATTGAGACCAAGATCCCGCTTCCAAGTTTGTCTACATCTGGGCAGTTGCATAGAACATGTTCTGATGTTTCCTTCTCTTCATGACAGAGTCGACACGAATCACTTTCTATCACACCTATATTATTCATGTGGTAATTAAGTCTACAGTGTCCTATAAGAAATTCAGTGTAGAGTTTTTATCGTTTCTGCTAAGGTTAAGCTTAGCGTCACCTGTGATGTGTTCAGAATTAATAAACCTTCTTGATTGCCGCATGCTTGTTTCGATTCTTCAGTATTCAAGTAGATTTCGTTTTTCCCGTTCACGGCTCTGGACCAATGAAAGGAGTACATACAGCCTTCTATGCTAGGGAGTTTGCCATTTCATTGCTCCTCATGTTCCGGTACCCACATAAGAGTAACGTAGTTCATTGATGCTACAGTATTGAGAAATTGAAAGCATTCCCAGACCAACTTTAATTGGAATGAAGAGTTTTCTTTTCACTTTTTCAGTTTCGACCATACATAGTGGTATAAAAAAAATTATACAAAAAGTAATTACACATTACCCTATAACTGGATTTTATCTAATTGGTAGACGCGCAAAGAAAATTTGATTTGTAACTTATGTTCTTTAAGGCCTCTCTCCGCCACGAAGAAGAGAGTAGCAAGCTCCTAAATAATTTTAATATTAAACAGGGTTACAATTCTTATATTCCAAGAAATTTTTATCGAAAGACTCTACAATAAATTTGAAGAAAATATATTATATAGCTAAAGTGATGCGATTAATAATTGTATTTTAACAAAACGAACGTTTTACAGATGTCCTATGTGCATAAGAATCAGTAAGATGGAAGTAACTTACTACGGAAAACCTAGTCAAATGTAAAGGGTTCATTAGTAAACTACGTGCAGTCTATCACTGATTCATCCTTAAAGTTATCCTATATATGTATTTATTAAAAGTTTTCTCAACTAACCTCCGAGCTCGGGAATATACTTATAAAGCTAGCGACCATATCAACATTTGTATGGTTATGTTTAATATTAGCAAACAACCAGGGCCCCATAACTTTTCTTATTAACAATAATCTCTTAAAAATTGAACTGCATAAAAACAAAAGTTAAATAATCCGTCATTTTATCCTAAAAGTCTTATTTTTGAAACTACATGTTATAACTTTTAGTTATGGCCTTAATATCTTATAAAGAAAAGAAGAATTAACGGGTCAGCGTTTCACAAAAAAAAACAAACATATAAACACGATTTTATAACTTTAACTAACTACTGAGGTACCGAGGTATTTAGATTGTAATTGAAAATATTAATTTGAAATATTTTATAAAGAATAATCACAGTAGCCTTGTTTAAAATTAAAAAAAAACTTGATCAATCTACCCATGATTTTTTAAAATGAAAAAAAAAAGTTTCAAGCATAAAGCGAACATATTTTTTTTTTTATTTGTTGAATACAGTTCTATATTTGTTAGATCGAAAATTTGAGTATTTCTGATATAAATTTCAAACAAAGCATTTTACACGATGGGTAGAGCAACTGATATTATTTGCTCTGCTTATCAGTGGTTGAAGAAAATATTTAATATTTTTTTGAAACGTTTCTGTTCCGGAAAAAGGAATCGGTATAGTTCCAGTTCCGTATGGCGCAAAATAGAGCGTAGAGGCAAAATGCACAAAGTTAGTATAAATCCTTTTGTCAACTACATAAATGAGTACAAAAGGGTTTATGTGCTATACACAAAAGGTACATTGAATCTAAACCATTCTCGAGCTACTACCGCTGGTTTAACTGACAAACAATCTGAGAGCATGATAGAAGACGCCAATTCTGAAAATCTTTTGCGAAATTTTGCTGTTAAGAACTGGAACTCGATGTCATATGCACAACGGAAACCGTTCATTGACTTAGCTTTGGAAAAGCGAAAATGGCTTAAAAGAATTGATGAACGTAACGTTGCAATTTTAAATTCAATCAATCAAGGAAATATACCAAATCATGATGTATCTATCATAACTACGCAATCCGAATCTGATTCACAACCTAATAGCGCTACATCTTCAGAAACAAGTTTCCAGCATTCCGAGAACATTTCTGATAAATCAGATGATGAACCGATAGCACATCGCTCGAAATGTCAGAATGGTATTAACGGGAGGGTTTCGAATTCATCTAATATTTGCAATGAAACAAGCTGTCCAAGTCAACTCGATCCTACACTAATACCAGATGCGTGTATAACTTCAGAGGCAAATTCTCAGCATGACATGAGCAGTCATAAGGAATCAGATGATGAAACGGCAGTACGTCGCTCGAAACGTAAGAATGGTACTTCCAATATAGATTTGAAAGAAGTGAATCAACCGGATATACCAAATCATGATGACCCTAACGTTGTTACTAACGCAAATCGTAAGAAGGTTAGGAAGCCAAAAAAACGTTCCAGAGCAAATTTACGCCACCGTGAGAACAGTCGTTCTGTTATTGAATTAGCAAAGGAATCATCAGATCAACTCGATCCTACACCAGTATCAGATGCGTGTGTAACTTCAGGGGCCAATTCCAAGTATGACATGAGCAGTCATAAGGAATCAGATGATGATACAGCAGCACATCGCCCGAAACGTAAAAATGGTATTAACAATATAGTTTTGGAAGAAGTAAATCAACTGGGTATAACAAATCATGATGACCCTAACGTTGTTACTAGGGCAAATCGTATGATTAGAAAACCAAAAAAGCGTTCAAGAGCAAATTTACGCCACCGTGAGAACAGTCGTTCTTTTAGTGAGATAGAAGATGAGTCATCAGCTCGTAGCTCAAATGGTAAAAGCAATAACAAACGGCCGTATAGCGAGGAGATAAAGCCAAGTGAAGAAACAAAAAGAAATAAGAAGCAGTATAAGAAGAATCGTGATATGTCCGAAGAAGTACAAATGAATCCAAAAAAGGAGCAAAGGAAACAATCTGGTACGGTTATTTCAAAATGATGGACAGAACCTTAACAAATCGTAAATTCAAATACCTCAAATTAAAACGTTCGGATAATAGATAGGAGAGAAAATATTATAGAGATTAAAATTGGCGTGCTTGGGATTCTTTAAAGAATACACATTATATATTCGATAAATTGTTTATTTGTCTATGTTAAGCAAATCCTAAAAATATAAATTATTTTTAATGGAATAAGTTTTTAAAATATATCGTTTGGAGCTTTATTTTAACTTGTTTTCATTTATATTCATTCAACTTTAATTTGGATAGAATTTAGAAATCTAACTCATCTAATTGGTTAAATAGCTTATCGCTAAAATAGTGTAGTTAAAAAACCATAAGCATACAAAAATATATACATGTAAGTTCTCTACAGATTTCAGTCTGATTTCGAGCCTAATTATTTGATATTATGCAAGTTTATTTGGTGGTTCCGAAATTAAATAAAAACGATTGCGATTTTAATCATATTTTTATTTCAATATGGGTGAAATTTGTTATTAAATTTTTATTGACGGGATATCTTACAAAACTGGATACTCTTTATTTAATTTTCGATGCCTTGTAGACGCACAACAAGAAATAACTCGGCAATAACTTGACGTTGGCAAATGTTTGTTTTAAAAGCATCGATACCGAGAGTTCATGGATTGCCCATATAACTACGGTTCTTTATGTAAGCATACAAAAAAGTCCAGTGGTGATAAATCACATGGCTTTGGCAGTCAATTTACATCACCAAACCGACATCGACTGCCAATGTCCTATTAGAACAAAATATTTTTCACATCCATATCTTCAGATTCACATAAAAAAAATTGGCTATAATTGGATATAGCGATTAGAATTAAACATTTATGTTAAATATTTCATTACTTTTTAAAAAACATTAGCACATCACTTCTTCAAACTAATTGCTACATATACTCGTAGCATGAAGTGACTTTATGAATGCGGCAATTCTGTTGCTCGACATTTTTATTAATTGGAAAATGAGTCTTATCACTGAAAATAATTCGGTGCGAAAAATCATCTAAATTCTATTTTTGGAGCATAAAATGGATAACCCTATATTCAATCAAATTTTATTATCTTCCAAGCAAGACTTCAATAATACCCATATTCAGTAATAAGTAATATCATAAGAGTATTATTATAAGTAATAATATTATTATAAGCAATAATAATATCTAAGTAATAATAATAACTTTGAGTAATAAGATTATTATAAGTTATAATATTATTATAAGTAATAATATTATAATAAACAATAATAACTTTATGAGTAATAAAATTATTATAAGTAATAATATTATTATAAGCAATAATAATATCATAAGTAATAATAATAACTTTGAGTAATAAAATTATTATAAGTAATAATATTATTATAAGTAATAATATTATAATAAACAATAATAACTTTATGAGTAATAAAATTATTATAAGTAATAATATTATTATAAGCAATAATTATAGTAATAATATTACAAGTAATAATTACAAGTAATAATGTTATTATAAGAAAAAATATTATTATAGGTAATAATATTATTTTAAGTAATAATAATAATTTTATAAGTAATAAAATTATAAGTAATGATATTATTATATATACTAACATTATTATAAGTAATAATATTATTATAAAAAATAATTTTAATATAAGTAATAATATTATTATAAGATAAGTATTATTTGTTATAAGAGTTAGAAATCATCTATCAAAGTTTTTAGTGCAGAGATATGCTTTACGGACAATGTCTATATTTTAGTGCCATCCTGCATTTTGAGATGGTTGGTTTTTTGCATTTAAAAAAAAAAGCCCCAAACCTTTCTCACTCTTTCCATACATCACTGATACATAACATTCTTTAAAATAGAAACAAATTCGTTTGACATTTATAAGAATTGCATTTTGTGTTTATTTTATTTTAATAGTAATAGTAACCATTATACAAGCATTTAAAAAAATTGCATTTTTTTCAGTTCTAAGGAATGGCTAGCATTTCACATAAATTAAATTATACTGAAAATAATTATTTAACCTATATGTTCATAGTATATAGTTTATGATTCTATATAAAGTATGAAGAACAATGAAACATGTTTTCATTAAATATTCTTTTACACAAATGATTTTTTGTTTATCAATAATAACATTTACAATCAATCTTATTGAGATATTTAATTTAATTACATTTATATTTTATATATGTATGTATAATATAATATTTAAAATATACAAATATGTATATAGTATAACATGTGTGGATTGCATAAATATTTATTGAGAGTATTTGTTCCCAGCATGAAAGTGTTTACTGAGAGTTTTTATATGCGTCAACAGATTTATTTATTTAATTTGCTATTGTGATACAACACAATGTTCAGAATGCAGTAATTGTCTCAGCTGAACATTGGTTATTTGTGTGTTTTCTCTATAATAACTAACATCAATATGATATTCATTTTCATAATTCTATTTTATTCACTATGTTAAATTATTACTTATTTAAACATAAACAATTTTGCATTGATCAATTAGATGTGTTTTTAATGTCTACCAAAAGAAATAACATTAATTAATTCACATATTAAATTTTTTTATGTTACCAATTTTGGGAGGTGAGATTACATTATGGACTTAATTTAAATATTAACTTTTTATTAACACAATTTGGTTATTTTTAAATAACCGGGATCATAATACTGTGGGATGTTAATGTAACTAGGTATATCCCGAAAAGATCTCATATTCTGCCGAATGAGATTAGCAACTTTACCTGAAAAGAGAAATAAGAAAATCATGTTTAAGATATATTTATAATAGTTCATTTTTTTAAATCTAAAGATATCAAATGAGAATACTAAAGTAATTATATCAGGCATTGAACAAGTCTTCATTACAAAACCCCAGTTTAGAATATTTATAATTACTATTAAAATTTTTAATAAATAAGGTCAGCTTATGATGGTAGGCCAAAAAGGCCACGCGTAGACTATTAAGGTTTATTGCGATATCAGATCAGAGTTTCATTTCTTGCGACAATATACATCACTAAGAATGCACGTGTTATTAACGAAGTGTATTAAGAGCTCAACAGCAACCTCAGGTATGTGCTCTAGTCCTGTAAACCTAACAGCCCGCAAATATTTTTGTCTAGTACTCGAGTAAGCCGAGCAGTTACACAGCAGATGCGTCAGAGTTTCCTTTGCATCCGGCTCGTTGTATATCCTACAAACATCGCTGCGAATTAAGTTTAGTTTGTGAGCGTGAAAATAAAAAAAATTTACCGATTGGATTATCGCGGGAACTCAAAAATTAAAAATTAAAGTCCTTTTTTGATCACAAGGTATAAAAGGTATACTAGAAGTTCTTTTATTCAAAGTTTTTCGAAAGATAATAAAAATAATAGCTCAGATAATTTACATTTTTATATAAAAATGCCAAACACAATACTTGATTATGTTTATTATTACTTAATCGGAATTGTGTGTTCAGAAGATACAAACTAAACTTCAATGATACATACTTCTACATTTGTTTCTACATTTGTGTGTACATACATCACAAATACCAATTATGTATTTATATATATATAAATATAATAATTTCTTCTGAATACATACCCAAGACATTTGCATCTACAAAACGTCTTTCCATTTTACGCAGAACTTCGATATTTTTGTTTATACACCATTGCTGTAGTACTTCAAAAACACTTATTGATGTCATCTCAGCTTTCTTTACAGCGGCGTCCTGTAAGATAAGTAAATACCTTTAGTACTTCATTTATTATATATAAGTAAAGTTAGATGAATATATTAATTATTTTTTTAATTAGTGAAAATTTTAAATACAAACACTTATTAGCATAAAAATTATTCATATGATATAAATTGTAAAACAAAACGCATATTTTGGTATAAATATATTTATTAAATATTAAAGTGTATTGTTTTTTCGCTTCCTTAGGAGCACATCGATACTGATTAAAACTAAGTTTGTGAATATAGTCATTTAAAAAATAAATAAGTAGTAAATAAATATCAACAATAAATAAACAAATAACAATAATAAATAAACAAATAATAATATAAATAATTAAATAAATAATAAAATAAATAAATAAATAAATAATAATAAATAAATAAATAATAATAAATAAATAAATAATAATAAGTAAATAAATAACAATAAATAAATAAATAATAAGAAATAAATAATAAGAAATAAATAATAAATTATAATAAAGAAATAAATAATAATAATAAATAAATAAATAATAATAAATAAATAAATGAAAAAAAATAATAAAATATAATAATAAGTAAAAAATAAATAAATAATAACAAATAATAATAATAAGTAAATAATAAAATATAATAATAATAAACAAATAATAAAAAATAATAATAATAAGTAAATAATAAAAAATAATAATAAATAAATAATAAGAAATAATAATAAATTAATAACAAAAAAATGAAAATAATAAACAAAATGCTTAATGTTTCACAATTTTAACCATATATAAACATTTTTATACCAATAAGACTATAAATAATAAATATATAAAATATTATATTTTGATATTTAAACTTTTATATGTTTTATATATAAAAAAATATTAATGAACATTAATATTGTTTATATTTATTTTTCTTCGATATTGTATAGGAGGATATGCATTTGTGTTGTCTGTCCATAGATTGGCTGGTAAACATATGCACACATACACATACTCAAATTTTCATTATATGCAATATAAGAATTAAGATTTGTAAGGTACCTTAACATATTCTACTTTAACTTGATCAAACGTAGCCATCTGAATAAGACGACTGAATTTAGGATGGTTCATATTCTTCTTTGATTGATGCAATATGTAATGTTTTATGTTCTTGTATGTTTTAATAGGTTGATTATCTGATTTAATATATTTAAAAAAAGCTTTAATCAGCTCAGAGTCATAGGTTATATGAAGTTGATCCTGTAAAAATATTGTTAAAACATGTTACAATATAAAATTAAACGATAAAAATACATACCAGTGCCTGCACTAAGGATTCTTCATTGAAATTCACAGTAGAAATTGTCACAATTTCCTTTTCAGTCACAAATAAATTTTTGAGCATCTAATAAATTGTTATAAAATAATAAGTTAATATCATAAATTTGTTAATGCAAATACATTTTAATAATAAATAATATATAATTACTTGCTCGCCGCCATAATTATCACAATTTGTCCTTCTTTGGTTATATGAACTACCCTCATTTAAATTCTTTAACTTATTATGTATATCATGTCTGCTTGTAGCTTTTTTATCAGCACTACTATGTAAATAATTAGTAGACCAATCCGTTCGGCCGCATGGGTTGAAAAATTCATTTACTTTGTTATTATATAATATATCCTCAGTAAATAATAACGGTGAACCACTACGACAGCGACCTTGTTTCGTATATGTCGCTTCAACGTATGAACTGGGTAATATCAATAAAGTTTTACGCTTTCGACATTTCGGGCATTCCTTTGAGTCTATTGCCTTCCCTATTGTATTGACAAGAAATTCACGCTCTAAACAGTCCAAACAAGTTTCATCGTTGGTACTCAGATCTTCGCAATTCGCTACACAAGTGGATAAGGTATCATCTGGTAGTGCAGCGGAGCGAAATTCCGTACAACTTGCACTTCGTTCATCGAAACTATTGTTACCCATTGGTATTGGTAAGAAGGAGCGTAATGAGCTACGTGATTTCGAAGAATTCTTGGAAGATGTTGAAGATGATATAGAGGATGATAATCGTTTTGGTTTAGCTCCTTTAAGAAATTAAAAAATGTTACATTAAAATTTTATTATAATAAAATATAATAAGAAATTTTTTGAAAAATAAAAGAAAGTAATTAAATAAAATTAAGAAAAATATGAAAAATATATATTAAGTAAGTCAGTAAGTAAATCTGTATTAAGTGAATACAAAATTTGATTTAAAAATTAAATTTATAATAATGTTAAATATAAATGAGTCAAAAAAGATTGATAGTGCAAAATTAAGTAAGAAAACACATGTATTTATAAATTAAAAACTATAAATAATTTTTTATAACCGTTCAATCTAATTCCTAAAGCCACTCGGCTATATATACCTCTCAACTCTACTATTAGGGACCCAAAAATAATATACCTAAAAAGAATGATAACATCTAAGTTCCAGAACTATTTGTCTATACAAACGTGATTTGTCGCCGCTAGGTACTATCACGTTATTGTTGTAGTTTGCAGGGATCTGTAAAGCAGATAACGCGAGAAAGAAATTATATGACGAATACATGGATTACGTCGTGAATGGGATTATTAGGAAGTGGAAATGAATTGGGGAGTGAGCGGTGATTTAAATTGAAGATAACCAGAATCATGACGGAGAAACCTAGTCACTTCTAGCTATTCTCATCACTGATTAAAACAACAATAAACAACAAACATAAATAATATAAATTAAGTATTGAATCGGTTCGTATGTTAACATCCGAGTACACTTTTCAAAACTTACAGGATTCAATTCCTGACACTTTTGTGTATCGCAATTCAAAAAATTTCATACGGACAATTAAAACAATAGATATTTTACAATAGATAATAGATACTGATGATATTTGATTAAAAATCAATTTTTGGATTTGAAAAATTTCTCACTATTACTTCATTTAAAACTAAAATTAAAAGTTAAATGAAATAAAATTAAATATAATTAAAAATTATATATTTATAATTTAAACTGCATAAATAATTTTTTTATATATAATACTGAATATATCGAGATAATTAATATATAAATCATTTAATAAGTATTAAATAAGCTTATTTAACTTCTATTGTTAACACAAATTTTGTGTGATATCATATGTAGTTTGCGTATTAAAATCTATATATATATATATATATATATATATATATATATATATATATATATATACATATATTACATATATATACATATACATATATTTATACACATTTACTAATATATATTTTTAAAATATATTTATTGTAAGAAAAAGCTAATGTGTATTATATTAGATAGAAGTATCACTTTGTCGACGATGTCGACAATTGGTTAAGAGACGTAGACCCAGCCACTTCTAGAACTACAAAAATTTAACATATTTGGCAAGTGAAAAATTAAAAAAAAAACTAAAAATGTCGAGACTTGCTTTAATATAATTCTGAAAAACCAACTTACTTCAAATAAAGAGAATGTAAAATTCTTGGTGATTCATCTAAACTGACACTTAATATACAAAGCGCACATAAGAGCAAAACAACTGTAACTTAATATCAAAAGTTAACAAATGTATTAGTTGCTTATATTCAAAAAAAGAAAGAACAGAAAATCCGGTTTAGTTATATAAAGCATAATGGACACTAATTCGGACCAACAGCATAACACTATTGGGTAAAACTAGTAGCGCCAAATTATTAATGCTACATGGTTTGATACCAATCAGCTCATACATAAAAACTTAGACATCCTATATGTACACAAAAAATAACGAGTTAGTAAAACCTATCTGGAACACCCAACGAATCATATTGCTAAATAAAATACACACTACACTTGAAACACATATGAAAGAAGTTTTAGTTCTGCTATATCACAAATGAAATCAATATTAATTTTAATATTAAGGTTCAATGTAAAGGTTTTTAAAGAAAAAATACAATTGAATTTAAAACGTAAAAGAAAACTATAAGCTGGAAAGTTGTTGAATAGATATACATACATATATGCAAATAGTAAGAAGCAAGTTGTAAAGAAATGGATTGTATAGGATCCATGTGTATGATAGTGCATTCATATATGTACTTATATGGCTTATATATAATTATCACATGTATCATTTATCAGTCATATAAATAATATTTGCAAATTATACATCTTGAGTATAGTATGTATCTTATGAAATATCCGAAAGACGATCCTTACGATCATTGTTCTACAACTTTTTTAAAATAAAGTTTTAAGATTTTTATTCTATGACTTCGATGCTAAATTCTTTACAAAAAGTTTTCTAAATAAAAAATAAAGTAAAAAAAAGGAAACGGATAATAAGTAAAACTTCAAAATTTAAATATATTGGTTCTAGAGGAAATAAGTCTACTTGTGCAGCTCGCCACATCCATTGAGATGACAAAAACAATTAACTTTTCTGTTTTTTTATTTCTCGAAAGAGAAAAAAAGTCCATTGTCTTATATATATACATATGAATATATACTTCCAAAATATAATTGTCACGTAATGATAAGCTATACCTGTTCTAACAAAAGTAATTATTACTTTATAAAATAACACATATTGGTTATAGATATGTCAGCAAATAAATTACATTAATTTATAAGTGGAAAAAACGAGGTCAAATTTATAAACATTTCATAACCAGAAATCATACAACGCTCACCTGTCACCTTTGAAGGACTTGCTTGAATATCTTTCTCCTTAAGAGCATCACGTCCAAAATTACCCGTTAAATTACTGGGTAAAGAATGTGCTGTTGAAGGTGTTGTATCTGTTACATTGCTCTTACCTAATACACTAATGCCGTCATTACGTGCCACTTCGTAACAATCCGAATCACCACTGTCACCTTTTATTTGATCCAAATGCAGAGATATGCGTGCGAAATTCTTTCCTAACATTGTTTGAGATTGCAATGCCTTTGGTGGTGGTAGATCATCTATGGGTGAACTGAAATGTTGACGATGCGTAGGTAAAACCTTTAAGTTCATATTATTTGCTGAATGACGCCCACTTAAGTGGCACGCATCGCGCTGTACAAGTAATGTATCATTACGTTGATTACGATCTATTGTATCATATTCAACTTCTGATAATGGATCGGGTTCATAATCCATTTCAAGAAAATCAGTTTCATCATCACCAAAACCGGCATCCACATGCCTATTAGACACACCTTCCATAGCTAATTCAAAATCAGAACCATCACCTCGATAAGCATAAACACAATCATCTGAATTTAGTGATAACTCTTCACCTTCGATGTCACCATTATCAAGTAAAATCAAATCGTCAGGACAGAATATATCACTAGAATAACTAAGATTTTCGGTGGAGTTACTTATGGAAGTACGATTCGAATGTGAGGTGCATGGCGGTGTCAACGAAGCCGCACCTCCAGCATAATATTCATTTGCTTCTTCCGACATAACAAATTCAGGTATTGTAGTCATTGAACGTACATTTTGTGTCGTATAGGATGCTGTAGAACCATTTTGCTGTAAATGCAGAATAGTTAATTTTTTTCTTATTTTATATTAAGAATTATTTAAAAGTAAATTATTTATTTGGGAATACACAAAACAAATTAAGTGAGTGACAGTATTTTATGTTTAGATAATATTTATTTACAAATACAATAGTTTACCTTTATTTCCAACGGATCGACATAACTCGCACCTCCACCCTCATCTTCAACTATACCGGCACATGCGGCATCCAGACTGGCGTGTTTATAGTTCGAGGATACGCCCACTGCTTCACAACTTTCACAATTCCAACTATTTTGTTTTTGCATATTTTCATCACTTAGCTTTTTGTTCAGTCCTAACGTTCCATGTGAGTTGTTATTATTATTTACATGCGTTGTCAACCATGTATTTGGTTCAGAAGCACAGCTGACCACCGGTGGTGGACCGGTGCTCGGGATCAAAACATACCGTTCAGTGGTATCTGTACTCTTTTTTAAAAACGTTGCATTATTTTCAATTTCTTTACTCAAATTTTCCATGATCATTCACATTAAATGTGTGTATATGAATTATTTGTATTGCGAATGTCCTTTTTTCCTTTTCGCTGTAGGCGTTTATGATACGATGTTGAAGTGATTTCTAATACTGCAATTAACTAAAATTTCAATTCAAATATTGTTTTTAATTTTTTGCAAATACACAAATTATCCAAATTGTTTGATTTTACAAATTTTCGTCTTCCATAGCCTAACTTCGTTTCTTTTTTTCTTTGCCTTTTTCTCAAAGACAATTATTTTCTAACAAATGACACAAAACAAAACCACAGCTGTTGTCCAATTGAGTCACAAAAATTGCACAGAGTTGCAATCCAACAAAAAAATTTTATTCCCAAAAAATTTGCATATAAAAATATATGTCACAATGAGTAGCTTAGAGAGCGTTACTTTCAACACTGACAATTTGAATAAAATAAAATACTTCAAAATTTTAAACTTTTAAAATACAAATAAAGAAAATAATTTCAACAATACATATGAAATTTTTTCAATAAAAATATTTCATATAATAATTATTTACGAATAATTAAATATAAGAATTATTTCCAAGACCACTGATGAAGGGTATTTGGCAATACTCGAAACAGCTGTATGGTCAGCCAAAAATTCAATTAATTAAAATGATTTAAAAAATAAATTTTTGTTGTTGTTTCACTTCTGTTCGAAAACCTCTTTATATATATTTTTCGAAAATATTACTGTTGATATGAACTATCAACAAATATCTGTACAAAAATATTATATACAAATGAAAATTGTAGTTCATGCTAGAGCTGCATGCATATAAAAATGTTGGAGACAATTGCTACAAAAAACGACAATAATAGGTCTGTTCCACGAGCTACATGTACTAACTTTGAATAACACTGTGTATACACAAGTGCGTTCCATTAGCAACTTTTCGAGTAAATAAGAGCATTTTAGAGAGTGTAGCATCCCTGTCGAAATTTGAAAATGCTAAACAAACTTTAGTCGTACATTATATTCAAAGTAAAACCAGCTGTTTTGGTTTAAATTTACATTTTTGTATTGCTCATTTGCGCGGGACCGGTGTTTTCACCACAATTTACACAAAGCTGTTCCATGAAAATATGTGTAAAGAGCGAAATTTGACACTTTATTTGTGTTATGATTTCAGTTTGTATTTTATTTGTGTTTTACTTGAGTTTTACTACGACTAGCTCGTGGAACAGACCTAATAAGTGTATTCTTTTGACATTAATGCCTAAATCAGTAAACACATAACAAGTAAGAACATTTTAAACAATTTTGTGGTTCATATATATATGTAAATACAGAAATAATTTTTATAAAAATGGTTTTTATACAAATATATATAAAATTAATGACATAAAAAATTTATTGGTGAGCATTTTATATTGTATATGAATTTATATAAAAGTATATATTCTTTTAGGCTTTATCCATGGAGTAAATTAATGGAGAAAAATAGTAAAATAATAAAATAAGGACCAAATAGACCGGCGCTTTAACCAAATATTTTAAAGTTTTGATAGCTGCAGCTCTTCAGAAGGCAATACGAGATCGTCAATAAATTCGTTTATATAATTTTCACACTTCTAACATCACTAGTTAATGTAAAATAAGCAGTATTTAACACAGTTTTATTTTTCTTACAATTGTCTTATAACTATTAGCTTTTGTTATAATAATCAAGTATCAATCAAGTATGCAGTGCTACCAATTCGCAGTGTGCATATTCAAGTATACATAACAAATTTCGTTCTGTAGACATGTATGAAGTAAAACTACACCTTGATTCAAAGTGTATAACGCATAATTGGTTTGTATACTTGGTATTCATACATGTATCATCGTCTATATCATATTTAATGTAATAACTATTTTCAGTTAAAAGTACACTACGTAGAAGTACACTTGTGGAATTGTTTATAAAAACAGTTTAAAAAAATTGTAAAATTTATTCATAATAACGCTACACAATTGTATTGTGAACGAATTTAATTTTAATTTTATTTTGTACATATCACAATTCAACTTAACCTTGATTGTTAGAATTTTGTGCGAAATTGAATTGTAATTTTTTTAATTTCATAAAGAATCGAATGGAATTGGCTGAACGAGCAAAGATACATTTAAAACTATTGTATATGATTGTAGTCATGTTCACAGGGTATTTTATGTTATATTATCGTCTGTTGTAGGTATCAGTTGATCAATACATATCTTCAAATAAAGTACAAAGCTTATTTAAATAATATGCCAAAAAAGTCATTCATGTAGTTTCAGTAATTATCTGTATTCATCATTCTTAATCAATTAACACGGTTCTGTCATTAGTCATAATATAGGATGAGTTATATCTGTTATTATAGTCCTACCTGTTCGGTGATATTATGATTAATAGTTCAATCAAGTGCTGCATTTCGAAACTTGCACATATATATTAATGAGAAAACGTTCACATTATAATGAGCTCATTCATATAGCTGATAAGACTTTTATAAACTTTCCTTAATAATATATCACATATTATATATATATAATATATATCATAATAATATATATAATGTATTAAATCATTTATATACATTTTATACATAAATTAAATTAAATTTAAATTTAATTAATAAAAACAAAGGTTTTATAAAATATGTACATCCTAACTGTCTTTGTTTATAGCTCAGCTGTTGTTTGTTTACATTTTACATATGAAATATATGACAAATATTTCAATTTATGCTTATTTCCTTGTGGGAATTTTATTTTTAAGGGTTGCATTTGGTAATTTCCTCTTTAAGTAAGATGATTTATTGATAGTTACCTTATGTATATGAAAGATTTTTGTGTGAGAAACTATCCTCATTGGCGGTTATAATGAGCAAAACAGTCTAAATGAGACTCATAATTTTATAATTATCTGGTTTATGTATATACAAATTGACATTCTTTAGTTGTATTAAATTTTTTTTGTATAGTATTTACTTCTTTCGTGTAGAAAGCTGTTTAGAATATGAAATATGTCCACTGAAAATGTGTCCGTTGGTATTCTTTGCTACATTCTTCAACAATTATTCTTTGTTTGCTGTCAAAAAGAGGCTGTCATAGAATAAAAAAGACGCCCCCTTTTTGTTATTTGTTTTTATAATTTAACGGAAGCGGCAGGTATGATTTTACTATTTCACTTACATATTTTTTTTAAATTTAACAAATATGTTATGCAAATAATAAGATAACAAATATTAAGATAAACTTTGCGAAATTTGGCGATAAAATTTGTTTGTGTGCGAGAATGTATACATCACATAATTAAGAAATAAATTAATACTGTGGTAAATAAAATTAATTTTAAGAATAACTCGAAATTTTATTTATATTTAATTTATTTGTCAAAATTCATTATTAGGTTGGAAAGACAACCATTAAAAAATCTCTATGGCAAATCATGAGGAAAATAGAGCTGAAAGATGGCATGTCTCGCAGTCAATAAAGCTATTGCGCCTCTATGGAGCACATCGTTGTCTTTGGAATATTCATGATATTGACTATCGCAACAAAAAATTGCGTTCTGCCGCTTGGACAGATATTGCTGCTGCTATGGGAAATAATATGACGAAGCCGGTCGCCCTTCAAAAGGTAAACATATTACGTGCGACTTATCGTTATGAAAAAAAACGTATAAAGCATCGGATACGAAAAGGCATTGGAGCCAAAACGAAATTGAAATGGTTTGCTCTGGCTGATACATTTCTGAGAAAGTTACCAAAATGTAATAGGAATGCTAAAATCAAAGTAAGCTTACCTAACATTATACGCATTAGTAAAAAAAATTCTAATTTGTTCATAGCAAAATGACTCGGACACAGATTTAGAAGACGCAATGATAATAACCATTGATCCAGAAGCTTTTATACCAGAAGTCGAAGTTACTACGGAAGATAATGAAAATTGCGGTTTTGATTTTCAAGGTTCAGCAGTGAGTTATACTGAAGAGGTTTGTGTGTTCACCAAAATCTGAGAAAATATTTGTTGAAATAAATTATATAGGTTAGTAATCTATTTAAGTTGTGAGTCGAAAATAGCATATAGAAATATTATTTCCGAAGGGAAATACTACCAAACTTAAAAAATCTAGTAAAATAAAAGAAAAGGTGAAAATGCAGAAATAAGTTTAAAGAATTTTTAAATAAATTACAAATAGAAATGAGTGGTCATAAGAATTCAAAAAAATTGAGCATAACAGCTATATTAATATATGAACCTTATCACCTCAATTAGTTAGAATCATAAGTCTAAAGCTATAAGTCTATAACAGTCTTATATGAGAAGTTATATGATGTTATTTTAGTATGAATTGTTTCACAGTATTTGAGGATATCTACTTGATTTGAGTTCTATACAAGCAGTGAAACTTGAATGTGAAAGGTAAACGATAGTGATTGTCGTAGGATACTGACGTAAGCAAAATATCGCTAAATAGTTTTAGAGAAATTTCATTTGCTTTGGATTTTGCATAAAGACTTAAATGTAAACTACTTTGGCCTTGGCATCCTAGGGAATTCTGAATGAATCCATATGCCTCTTATACAAGACCTTATCTTTTATATTTATACAAGTTTATATTTATATTTAAGTTAATGCGCGGTTTTATCACTTCTTATTGTTTTACCACTTAGTTTTCACATTCATAGGTAAGAAAAGGTTTAATCCGGGTTTTTGTTTTCCTCGCTGTCGTGACATGATTTTAAACTCAATATATATATATAAATATAGTGTTTTAAGCTATAAAAACACTATATGAACAAGAAATAGATTTATGATAGAATTTGACCATTTTCTTCTTTTATTATATATGAAACTGTTTAGATTACTAAGTTGTTGTATTGCCTCATTGCATTCTTTATATTGTACTTCTTTCAGTTCGGAAATAAATGTGACTATCGTCTTCTGGATTGATCTGCTTGCACGAACTCACTTCGGAGTTAAAAAGCTAGATTATTAGTCTCACATCTGAGCCTCTAATTTTGGTGTAGAAACATGTCTTTTACGGAGTTCGCCTTCAAAGCTCCTGCAACCACTTTTAAATGAATCAGCCGACTTATAAATCAATGTTTTTAAAGAAATTTGTTCAACCAAAACATTTGTTATCTCGATATGAATTTCCATTGTCTTTAAACATTTTTTTACAACTTCGAGTCGTTTCTAAATAAAGAATGAATTGTCAGATCGAAATGAAATTTTGGCTTTGTAGTTATGGAAAAGAAAATCAAAAATGGAACGAAGTTCTGGTTCTATTACTATTTAGTTATACTGTTAGTTATACTTATTATATAATAAAGTAATTTAGTTAATCTATATACTAATAAAATCTATAGTTACTAATATGCATTTAACTCTAGTTTTCAGATGATGCTAGTACTCAAATCAAAGATGAAATAAATTGCGAAAATTCTAATTATAAAAATGAGCAAAGAATGAAATCAATGGATTGTGACTTGAAGAAATGTGAAACTAGAAAGTGGACATCTGTAGAATCCATGCAGTTTGTAACACTTTTACTAGACTTTCAGAATTTATTAAAAAGTGACAGTAACATCGAATCGAGTGAAAGTTTAAAATATATTGAAAAAATATCAGATGTTATGAATATATCTATAAAACGTATAAAAGCTCGTTTACAAATATTAAAAAATACCATCCAAATTGAACAAAAAAAGATGGTGGGAAATGTGACATACAGACCAGATTATATTTGGTGGCCCGTTATAGAAAAATGCTTGTCAAACTTAAATTCAGACAAATCAAATTCACATATAATGCCACCACAATTCGTGGAAGTATCTAAGATACCATGTAGCAACAAAATAATTTGTAACGATAAAGGAATAGAAGTACCAGTGACATATACATCCGTTGAAAAAGATGAAGAACCAGACATCCAAAAAAGCATCAACAATTTTATCACCTTGGATCAATGTAATATAGAGATTGATCAAGTGGACGATTCAAATGTTCTTAACAACAGAAACCCAGCTGAAGAGCAGAATCTTTTCAATTGCACAGAAAAGAACTCAACAAAACTTATTTATAGTGGACTTCAAGATGATTTACTTGAAGGAAAATGGTCATTAAAGCATTCTGTAAAATTTTTAAGACTCTATGGAGCGCATCCTATACTTTGGAATTTAAGTCATCCTGATTATCGTGTACGTGAACTGCGTAACGCTGCTATGGAAGATATTGCGGCTGCTATGGGCTATGGATTGACTGCACAATACGTGGCAAAGAAAATAAAAATTTTTCGTATTACATATATGCAACATCGTAAGCGTATGTTAGAGGATGTGAAAAAAGGCAAAGGAACTGATTTACAATTACGCTGGTTTCCTTTAGCTGACAGCTTTCTGCGAACACATATTGGCTTACGTTCTATTAAAGATCAGGATGTTGAAGCGCCTCAATTTGATTTTGATTATGTCTATACAAATTTAAATTTAATAGATCCTGAGCTTTTGAGCGATATCAATTGCAATAATATTTAATAAAAATGTGTAGTAACAGTATTTATAATTATTATTTCTACTAGTTATAACTAGGGGACAATTATTCACACTGAAGAAGTGTACTTATTATTTAGTTGTATATAGTCAGTAATTTTTAAGAGTTTTTATTAAACAATGATTTTAATATAATTTATATTTATAATTATATGTATGAATAATATAAAATGTTCCTTACAAAGTCGTATGTATTTTTATTTTGGGTTGGGTAAATACTATTCGGCATTTTTCTGTTAGCTTGATTTTGAAATGCAATGATATTATAAATAGTTGCATCTAACAATTTATTTTGTTTGGCAGATGGCAGCTCAGGTGACTATTGTTGAATATTTTATTGTAAAGTGATGATCTCTATCGTAATAATCCTTGCGACTCTATACCCCACTAGGGTAAACGGACACTAAACAAAAATTGCAATTAACTGTTCGGAAATAGATCGCTTATTTTTGTGCGAACATTCGATTGTGATCGTTATTTTTCACTCTGATCGACTTATCACCAAAAAAGTCGTTGAAGTAATAAATAAGGTCTTAATAAATAAGGTCGGCATGTCAACAGTCAGAAATACTACTAAGGAGGTAAAGATTCTAGACCAAACTCAGAATCTATTTAAGAAAATAGTGTATTTATATAGATTGTATATTCAGAATATATTCAGAATCTATTTAAGAAAAGAGCATATTTATATAGATTGTATATTCAGAATATATTCAGAATCTATTTAAGAAAATAGTATATTTAGATAGATTGTATATTCAGAATCTATTTAAGAAAAGAGTATAATTATATAAGTAGAGTTTGCTTATAGTAAAAATATGGTATAAGGATTACAAAAAAAAACGCTTCTTTACTCTTATTATATCAATACATGTACACGTATTCGTATCTTATATTTGAAGAAATGAATATTCTTTCGATATAACACATATTTTTATTGCTTTGGGATAACAGCTTAAGCCGCAAGTTCTAGTTTTTCTTATCAAATGTAAATCGTTGGACTTGAACTTGGACTCCAGCATGTATCATTCAATTAACTGCTTTGACATTGTAGCTTTATTCTGTGGTTGCTTTGTAACCACAGAAGTGGCAGCTTTGATTGGAATCAGGTTTCTCAAATGTTTTCATCATTTATAAATTATGTTTTTATCGCGCATCCGTACTGTCGTCTTGCATGTGGAATTGCACATGTCTTGCATATGGAATTTTTTCATCGAAATTCCGGTTAGTTATATAACAAAAATTGCGAATGCAGAAATTATAGGCGTAGGTATCTGTAACGCAATGTAAACGTACTGCAATTGCATAGAACGAAGTCTGTTTATTTATTATAGGTATGTATTAAAAGCAAATATTTTTTGATCTGGATGTGACGATGACATTCTTCAGAAAACAGATATCAGATGTTTTCTTAAGATATCTTCAAAGTGAGTAATTAACAAAACAGAACACTAATGAATAACCTAAGGACTGTGATCATTTTATAACATAGATAAGGTTTTTGCATAAAATATGTATTTATATGTTACTTTCATACATATATTTAATGGAGTAAAATTAGCAAGTGACTAAAGTAAGACAAAGTTTGAGGTCAGTAGTAATAGAATATTTATATAATGTATATTTAAACCGGTGAGTAATTGTCGGCATGACAATTGAAAAAGCAACGATAATTACAAACCCAAATTAAAGTAATCTGGGTTTCTGCCAAACCTTCATCTAATTATTGTTAATAAGGGTATTAACTTTGATGAAATCGTAACGTTCAAAACTTCTCATGAAGTATGTTAATGTTAAATTAAGGAACCAATTTCCAGCGAGATCACATGGATCTGAACAAAATCAATAAATATCCCTTTCAATTGGTCACATTCTTTATTGATGGGTTTTTTCACTTATTCTCAAATCTCTTAGCCAGTTTTATTATATTTTTGTTCGGAACAAAACTAATAAATAATATCTCTCTTTGAATTATCCACATTTTTTATGGAAGCGATTTTTTACTTATTGTTGTCAAAAGTCTTATCCAGTCTTTTTAATTTTTAGACTAGAGAGATATTTTCGGCCCTGCTCATCTGGACTGTTGAATTAAAAAGCGCCTACAAACTTTAAAATAAATATTTTTCTCAATTGGCCACATTTTTTATGGAAGATCTTCTTTATATTTTGTACCGCTAGTTTTCTAATTTTTTGGATTAGAGAGCTATTTTCGGATCTGTAGGCACCGTTAAGTCTTTCTAGATTTTAATGTCTTTTTATATTATATACAAAACATTTTCGGTGCGTTAAAAAATCGTTACATGCTAAAAATGCTCTCGGTCTGCTTTAGGAGAAAGAATAAAAACATTGCTGAGTATAATCATAGTAGTTGGATTCATATATCTTGGATAATATCTCAAGGTGGTTAAGTTCAGTATTTGAAATTTTAACTTACTATTAATGGATAATGAGATTTTCTAGATTTCTACAGCTCTCTTATAAAGCATTCTATTGCTAGCGATAATTAAAATAAGCCTACTATTAGATTATCTATTCTTCTCTCACTGATTATTATAAACAGATAGAATAGGTCGCTGTAGGTAAGATCAAGATCTATGAAACACGATGAGATGGCTTGTAATTCTAAATGCAATTTATTTAATTTGCCTGACATTTTCATAAATTTGCAATAATTTATATTATCGTCTCCTTATTTTGTGTTAGTTTCCTAATGTATAATATTGAAAAAACTTGATCGGAACTAATAATGGGTATTATATTAAACAAAATAAAAATATAAATAAAACGAGGTTTCATTAATCCTTTAAAATTTCAATTTCTGAACTTTAACTCGTTAAAGGGTCGGAGACCCAGATGTCTATAAAAAACACGAGTTTCAGATTTCAGCTGAGTAGCTACAAATTAAGTTAACATCTATTTTAAAAATTAAATTAGTAAAGAGAATTTAGTATTTAGAATTTAGTAATTTAGTATTTAGTATTTAGTGTCGTTATATTAGAAAAAAACACTACTGACAGAAGGTCCTTTAAAAAGTATGGGGTATTACTTTTAACGGAGTTTTTGACATGAATATTTAATATGGGGTTTACATTTATAGACTTTTGCAGTTTCGTTTAGGAGTAGAGGGCTACAGACAAAAAAACAATAACAATTTGGCTCATAACGCAATACAATATGTTTGAGGCAACATCCAACTTTATACAAGTTGCTCGTTGGTGAGTACTGCACATGTAAAGCATGTATGACAGCAATAATAATATTAAACCACTGTGACTTGCATTTGCTGGGCTGCGATCATACCAAAAATAAGAGAGAACAATAGGAATTGTTAAGTTAAAGAAGAATTTTATAATACCGACTTTGCATAATACTCAAGCCACGATAACGAGTTCATAAATTCTGCAATTGGAGATGCGAGATGCGATTCCATAATCAAGACGAAGTAAACTAGTTTTTTAGGTTAAACAGGAGTTAAAAAATGCTTTATTGTATTGTTTTAGTGTATCTTAGTAATAGCACTAAAACAAAAAACGCAGCAGACACAGCGGTTTCTGAGCCAGCTTCAAACTATTTAATTGGCTGATAGGATACATTGAAATGCAGCATTATTTGTTAAGTTAACGTTTTTTTTTGTAACTATTGCGGTATAACATAACTATTGTTAGTCGCTTTGAGCTATTTAGATGGGAGTGATAAGAAGGCTGTGAAGTGTTTGTACTGAATGCTATGACTGCTACACTAGAATGATAAATAGTTGCCACGAAGCCGTAAACCAAAACCAGTTAAGTAAAACAATCGAACAACATAACAACCGTAAACAATAACATACTTTTTTTAAGTTTTTTATTATTTAACATTTTAGCTGACTTCCTTTTGGTACCAGTCCCTCTCATACCTACTCCTCACACTCTTGCTATCCATGGAACGCAGATTTCCGTGAATAATTCGCGCGCGGGCCACGTACCTCAATGCAGTGACGCTTCAAAGAAGATATAAAAGATATATCCGTCCACTTTGTTTATTACGTACGTATCCGATATTGTGGAAGTGTGCATATCGCACTGCTTGTAGCCATTTGTACTTGCCAGGGTATGATTTACGTGTACTTATACTTGTATGCGCCTCGGAATATATGTGAGCCAGTTCGTTTAATGGCTATTTTTTATGATAGACAAGAATTTCATAAGAATTCCCACTCGTCTGTCTGGTTTTCAGTTATTTTTTTATTTTATTTATTTTTTTTTGGCCTTTTTTTTGTACACACCGTATGCCTCGTTGTATTGTGTTCTTATCCCAATTGATACTCGTTTTTCTTTTTAACTGTATTTTCTTCTTAACCACATTCTACAGTTGCAATTCTCGTAAATTCTTCTCGTTCGTTTTGTTGTTGTGTTCTCAAACCAAATTGCAATTTCAGTGTCTTCTGTATTTTTGTCGTGATTTCTTTTCTTTCCACTTATCAAAATAGTTATTTTTTGGAATTTGTTAATAAATTTAATGATATTTCACGATCAGGAAGCTAATTGCATCGCTCCAAATATGTTACAATATTAGTTATTAACCATTAGCCAAAAGTTCCCAACAAAAGAAGTTCTGACCCCGGAATGACGTAGTGTTCCTAAACTTTTAAAATGGAAAAGCCAATCTCAGATACTAAATGTTTATATTTGGAACTAAAACAAAAACAACTCAAAAGAATATAGATAATAGAGGTATATTAAAAGTGGAAGTGCATAAGTTAGGTGAGAATGATTTTAGTAACTGAAAAGTTGGTTTCATATATATTCATCAAGTTAGAAAGAAACAAGAAAGAGCTGCTAGCTATTAAGGCAAACACAGATCTGCAGTTTATGTCTTTCTGATATATCTTTCTCATGAAAAGACACTTTTCATATTAGCAATGATGGTTCTATAAAGAGACACTTTTCATATGGGGAGCATAATTCTATAAATTTTTTAAGATCAGAACAGTAGACACAAAATTTTAAGTTAAATTTGTGGTTCTAATTCAATCAAAAACGACAAAAACACAACAAGTCATGTTAATAAAATATATGCACTGATAAATACATGTATATATACAAAC